TAAGATTCTGTAATTAACCTGTCATAATTGTCAGCAACAGGCACAATGGGCTCTTAATCTGGCCCTGTGTTCTCTTTAATATTCTAGTTTACAACATACATCTTGCAGGAAGCACTGAATTTCAGATCCTGTAATCACTCTTTGCTTACAATGTATTACTTTAAATTGGATTTTACTACACATGTGTTTATAAAAATGTAAATAAGTTTATTTAAACCAATAAAGATGCAATTATATTTTCTATGACTGTGTCTCCTCTGCAATAATTCCTCAAATTAAGAATGTTCTATGGCAGACCAGATACAAACAGAAATTGGTTTAGAAAGGAAAACCAGTCCCTAATATTTGATTTAAATGAAGAAGTGATGCACATGATACATGTTACATTGTATTTATATATAGTGGTTTTTTTTTCAACAGATGGTCTGCGCTAGATATATTTATATTGTTATTCACAAATTTAGTTTCAAGAGAAGTAATTGTTAAGAACAACTCCATCAGCATCACTATTTTTGTTTTTTCACACTGCATCCTCAGCACACACATGCACACTGTATTACTGCGCATGCACACATAAACACACTAACTCCCATACACACAGACTGCCCCTATACACACAGCGATAGAACCTGCTCCGTACAAACATTCACACTGCAGAAGCACAGACCTATCATCAATAAACACACAAATTCCAAATGGCAGAAACAAATACCAGCCATCCAAAATCAACACATCAGACTCACATTATTGTTCAAAACTAACCTAAACTGCTAATAAGCCGAAACCAGTGGCTATTGATACATACATCATGCTAGAAATAATATAAAGGAATATCAGACAGAAATGCAACACTTTATTAACAACCTGACTGCAAAACAGTCACAGAATCCCCAAACAATGACTGACACAGGAGTCAGAAGAGGGGCACACACAGCATCCCCTGAATACCCACTGCATCACCAGCAGACACAAGACATTCCCTACACACACAGCATACCCTATCTCTAAGAACATCTACAACACAGTCACACTGTATCTCCAGGATACACAATTTCTTTCTTACATATACTACACACATAGACTTCACTACCAGCAAAAGCGCATTATCCCCTATACACACCACCTTCCAGAGACACACACTGCATCACCTACACACACTACATCCCCTATAAACACACTTTACAGCTCCTATACACACAATCTATATCTCTCTACATCCCTTAGATACACATACTACACCACAAACACAAAACAACACACTACACCACGAAAATGCACTCATGGGCATACCAGACAAGTCAGCAACAAATTTGAGGTTAAATACAATGGAATTCTATGATACTAATGCAAAATTAAAATTACTCTGTGTTTTATAGCTGTGTAGCTTTGATAATCACCACATATGCCCATTACTGTAGGCTTTTGTGCTTGTCTGTTTGTGTGTACCTGTCTGTGTCTGTGTGTACCTTGTTGTGTGTCTGTTTCTGCATGTCTCTGTGTGCCTGTACATCTGTGTCTATGTATGTGTGTGTGTATGTAAGTAACCATGTACCAAAAGTGTGTTAAGTCGTGGAATTTGGGAGAGGTCGGTATAGAAATGGGCCAAGGGTGGGACTGTAGGTAGGGGTCACCAAATTATTTTTGGGATCAAGCCCTTGGTGTGTTTTGAGCATAGCCACCCCCTAGTTTAACACTAAATGAGATTCTCCAGCAGTCCATTTCCTCAGTGCTTCTTGGGCTAATGAGAAAGTATTTCTGCCTATTAAAGCACCAATTGCTGGAGTGAATAGGTATTGAAGAAAGTGTGCATCTTAGCCATGCCTCTAGTGAAAGCTGGACTGTGGGTATGACCTTTATCCTGTGTTAAACTGCTTGAAAATAGTTTATTACTTAATGGAGGAACATAACCAATTCAGTAAGATGAATTGCTTATAGTGTCAACAGTGTCCCTTTAAATGACAAAACAGCACATAGCTAACTGCATGAAAACAACATTTTAGCAGAAAAGGACAGGGATTAAATAGCATGTTGCATATACATATCTTCAATACAAATTTGTCTGAAGAAACCACTGTCTACTCTGACTATTCTACTATTGCCTACTGTTTGTCTCCTCTGACTGACTACACTGGTGCATGTTTTCCTGCATATAGTGTGAGTTGATAAGAAGTAATGATGTAAACAATAACAGTAGCTTAACAACCTATCATGATTAAATATCTAAATCAAACTGAACTTGTTGCTTTATGCAATATCATAAAGTTGGACAAAAACATACCATTCTGGGTCAGTTTTGTGGAACACACAAGGGTAGATATACAAAATGCATCACGTGAACTAATTGAAAGCCCTCCAGAACTGCTGCTGTTTCTGCTGAATGATGATGACTTGAAGTCCATTTGTTGTCGGGTAGATGGGTGAGATAAATAAGAGCTGGCATCCTCCATTTTCTTGCTGTCTCCCTAAAATAACATTGAACATAAATCTGTGTTAATCATTAAACACAATATATATTTTGACAAGTTATGCAACACAAAATTATCCTTTGGTTGTTACTAGTATAGTATGAAAACATACTGAGGCCATTTTATCCCATGTTCTTCTGATCTATCTCAGAATGCATGCTATCAATAAACATCAAAAGGTCATAGGGAAAGTATTTAACTTAAATTAGCAAGGCACCGAGACAGTGGTCCAGACCTCAAGAGACTGCTAGATATGAGCCAAAGACTAAACTCAAACCTACTTGAAAGATTCACATTAATTGTGTATCCACATTCCACTGTCATAAGCCATAACTATTGCATTTTAGTTAGGGTGCAGTACAGATTTTCTTCCTTCCACCCATATTTTCTAAAGGGAAAGTATACAACATAAACTACTCAGCACCTGGAAGTTGTGATCTAATCAGCAAAGACAGCTAAAGTAGAAAGTCTTCAGAGCATAACGTAAGGTACAGATACAATATGTGTAGCACTAAAAAATTATCTATTATACCGTGTTCGACAATAAAATGCATTCTGCATTACTTTAACTCAAGCAAACATAAATATCCTCTGATTAACTGTCCAGTTACAAGCACATAATTAAACAAAGAGAAAAGAGCATAAACAAGACAACCTTTGTGTAATGCTTTTTCATCAGTGCCAAACAAAAACTGTAGATATTAACCTCTGTCAAATGAAAAATTGGAGAAACGACAACAGACATGTAAATGAATATACAATATTATTAAAGGTATGGTGAGATCAATTAATTTGAAATAGTACAAACTGATTAAAGCAAATTCCAGACATTCACAGATAACCGATAAAAAAATCACTTGTAGACATAGCAGATCTGAAAAATTGGGATTCCACAAATCTCCTAGAATGCTTTGCAAACTTTGCAAATAAACACAGACAGTAATGACATTTTTGAAAGTTGGCTAAAGAAATGTAATTCTGAAAAAAGTGGCAATGAACATACAGTATTGCAATCCAAAAGAGTTTCAAGGCTCTTGAATTGAGATGGTTAGCCCAGAGCTCACAGCCTGCAACAGCAATAAATGTTGTAAAGAATTAAAAAGTCAGTTGGAGAGGTGGCAGGCTATGATAGCTGGGGAGTGTCTGTTTTTTTTTTCATGAAAAACCAGGTGATGATATCCATGATATGCATAGACTCTTGACAACCATAATCACAACGTCAAGCTGTGATGGTTATGTTGTTTAGAGTAGTCCTTTATCTTTACAGTAAATTATCATATACACAGAGATGTAATATATTCAAAATTTTTAGTTTGCACATTATATATAACATGATAGGTTTAAAATCTAGATGATATGTGTGAATGGAGTGGCACACCTATATTCACAGACTCACATCTGCCATTTTACAGTATAATACTTTTGTGAGTGCCACATGATATCAACATGTCACAGAAAAGATGGTACTGTAAGACATTTCCATAAAGCAGCATCCACGCCAAGTTATCCCACATGGCAAATGTAGTAGACATCTTTAAAGGGGAATTTACAAAATCTTATATGCTATGTTATTGTAAGTATTTTATTTATTTAATAAAAGTTTAACATAATATTGGAATTAAAACTCTGGAGCAACATGGCTTTAAAAAACAACTTAATTTACATCTCTCTGCTACTTGTTTAAATGTTTACATTTATATCTATTACAAAGCAAAGGACAAGGAACAATAGACAGAGATCGATAACAAATCCAACCGGTTCGTATTTTATCAGTAAACCAGATAGGGTTTGATTACCAGTGTACAAAACTGGGGCTTTACTATAATAGATATGTATCAGTAATGCCATGGAAGTTTATACACTGACAGCCCTGTGCATAATCTAACTATAAAGGCCATGTTTGTAGGTATCTTTACACTGGTTTGAATATATCTAATTAAAATTTATATCTGCATTACCTTTAACACCACTAAATCATGACAGCCATCCTGAAGTGTTGTACCATCATCCTTCATGAGCTTTACATATGCCATGGCAAAGTTCCGTTCTCCTTTGTCTTTAGCTGCAAAGCACAACACTGACATCATTAAATATGAATACAATATATTGAATAGAAGTTTATTTTTGCCTCTGGTATATACATAGAGTCCATAGCTGTGATTACTAATAACAAAAATAAAAAGTGTTTAAGGCAATACATGGTCATAATTTGGCAAATTTTCCAGCATGAGGGACTTAACATCCTCTTTAAAACTAGAGGCATAATATAAATGGTGTGTTTAGTCTTCATATTATGAGAGAACATGCCAGAGCAGAGCATGACACAAAAAAGCAATAAATACAAAATAAATATGTAAATTGGGGACATTTAGAAAAGCATGAGAAAGAATATGAGAATAAAAAGGGAACAAAAAATGAATAGTAGAAAGGTGGCAAATACTAAAGTAAAATAAAAGCTACAATTAAAAAACGGTTCGCGAACGGTTCGCCACGGACTCATCATTGAGTAAACTTTGACCCTGTACCTCACAGTCAGCAGACACATTCCAGCCAATCAGCAGCAGACCCTCCCTCCCAGACCCTCCCACCTCCTGGACAGCATCCATTTTACATTCATTGTGAAGCTGCATTCTTAGTGTGCTGTCCAGGAGGTGGGAGGGTCTGGGAGGGAGGGTCTGCTGCTGATTGGCTGGAATGTGTCTGCTGACTGTGAGGTACAGGGTCAAAGTTTACTCAATGATGAGTCCGTGGCGAACCGTTCGGCGAACCGTTCGGGACATCACTAGCTATAATATATAAAATTTTCAAATTAGTTACATAAAAATGGCACATAATTCGGAATACATGCCTCCCAATACTGTCCCAATTTTGCAAGACAGTAACGATGCCCCGCCGCTCCAACTCTGTTCCCTAGCGTCCCACTTTTGGGGAAACCAGGGAACCGTCCCTAAAAAGTGTAGCGTGAGTGGATCATTATATGTGCAAGCACACTGCACTCTATACTCTATACCAGGCTACCTGCAAGTCATGCCTTCAGTGGGCCGGCCTGCTTCATTGGCACGCAGCCTGCTAGTAAGTAAGGCGTATCGCCTTCCCCTTCGGGTAGAGAAAGTGATGCACTCCTTTTACACACTCCCACCAGCATCCAGTTTTTTGAGATGCCAATATTTTTCTGCAGTGTAATAGTACTCACATTCCTGAGATGACCTGTGTCTAAACATGAACCGAAGATGAATCTGCTGCATTTCTTCAATTGGAACTGCCACCTATAAGAGATTAAAACATTTTGTTACTTTAAATCATTATTATTATATTATTCAGGGGAGCAGCAGCAGTGTTCACCCTGGCACCCACCCACTGCCTAATTATAATAGTCAGGAGGAGACTTGGCTGTCAGAATTTTGTTTTGTTTTTTAATCAGATTTTCTTGCATCGGTATTTACTGAGTATTAGTTGGCTTTTTTTGGCCTCTAAGAGGAATTAGAATAAAGAAAGCTTAAGACTGACGGGTAAGTCTAATTTTTTTTTAACAGGTATTGGTTTTATTGGCCTTTCTTACTACCGTAAGAATGAGAATGAGGGGGTTAGGTATAGTTCTTTATTTTTAATGAGGGAGGGTAGCTATCGATTTGTCAACATCAAGCCTTTGGGAGGAAGCATGCCACTATTTGGTGGGTGGACAATGGCATAAATTAGAGTCTCACCCACTGCCATAGTGGGGGGCACAAACTAGGTTCTCCTGAGGATATTATAATTAGGGACCCCACCTGCTTCCAAAGAGTGGGGGCTGGGAAGAGTACATTAGGTCCTCGCACATTTTGTATTATAATAATGGCCCCCACCATCCCCGTAGGGGCGGGAGCCATGGGAGGATAATACGTGCTCCCCCTTAATCAGGGGCAGTGGGGGACATAAGGATGCCCCCATATATTTTATTAAAGGAACACTATAGTCACCCAGACCACTTCAGCTCAATGAAGTGGTCTGGGTGCCAGGTCCCCTAGGTTTTAACTGCTATGTTTACATTGCGGGGTTAATCGAAACCTCTAGTGGCTGTCTTCCTGACAGCTGCTAGAGGCGCTTCTGTGATGCTGGATGCGAAATTCGCACCCAGTGTACAGAACGTCCATAGGAAAGCATTGAGAAACGCCACGCAAGTGCATTCCGCTCTACTTGGGAGCTGACGTTGGCAAGGGAGGAGAGGTGGGGGGGTCCCTGAGGGTGGGGGGGGTCCTAAGGATGCTATAAGGTCAGGAAAACAAGTTTGTTTTCCTGACACTACAGTGATTCTTTAATATTCCCACTCCTAGCCATGGGTGGAGTAATATTTTCATCTCCATTACTTATTTTAAAGTCCCCAACCTGATGCCCACATGTGGTAGCAAGGGGCGAAAACTATTCCACCTGTAATTATTTCACAACCCCCTCACCTCCCCCCCCCCCTAAAAAAAAATGTCAGCAAATATGCCCCGCACGTGTCCCATGGCAGGTGTGGGAATTAGTAGGTTTTAAACCACCTTTATAATAATATTGGGGTTATTGACCCCCATAGGCTTTTTGTTCATTTATTTTAACTATTTAATATGGAAGCAGGCTAGCAGATGCTATTTGGCTTTAGTAAATATGGGAATTGCCATTGCAGTCAGAATTCGGTCATTTTCACTGGATTTTGTTTATCCGGACAATATCTGGTGTTTAGCAGAAAAATCCTGACAGAGTAAAACAGACAAACTCAAACACAGTCACTTAGTAATGCAATCAACCTCAATCACAGACATGCCAACACTAGAAAGTGATGCAAAATTATCTCTGAGAATTTATTTAATTATGGTTAAAGTCATATTTTGCTTACCAAAAAAAATCAATAAATAGAATTAAAAGTGCCACTACAACAGAAAGGATAGAATAACATATTAGGTGCCTTGAGTTCAACGAGTAATTCTATCACCGCTTTGCCCAAGGTAATTACCATATTGAAATATCAAATTTGTACACATCTGACAAAAGACCATTTTACTGAAGCTATTATTAATAAAGCTAAATTTTAAGAGTCTAGGAAGCAAGCCTTCCAGTCATCCCAATTTTGACAGAACTGTCACAATTTTTGGGTCCTGTCCTACCATCCCAACTTTGTTTCTTGGTGTTGTGATTTTGGGGACACCATTATACCAAAAAGTATAATGTGATTGTTTCATTAGACACGCTTGCGCTGCACTTAGGGCACTAGAACCCTGAAGAGAGCTCTGAAACAGTGCTCCCTTCAAGTTTTGCTCTCAGAGGGCTTGCATGCTTGATTGGCAGGCTGCCTAGCACGCACACTATTGCCAGGCTGACCTGCCAGGAATTTTAGTTGGCCTATACCCTTTCCTCTTCTCGAGAGGTCAATGTTGAAAATTATACTTTAGAACTTTTAGGATCACTGATAATATTGGCTTTTAGGCTGAGTAATTTTATGTTCCAGAATATTCAAGTGTTTTAACTTTTCACATCTCTCATATAACGTAAGGAAAGAATGGAGGACATTACAACACCATCTTGTTGATATGGTTTTCTAGTTACATTCATTTAGCTTTTATAATTGTTTATCTAGCCTCTGAGATGGGGAAGATGTAACATTACCCTCTCAATGTTGATATGACATTTTAGAAGCTGCTTTAATTTTGATTATTTCGATTTCACAATAGAAGCCCAAGACCTAAGCTGCAAATGACACTTGAACTGTGCAAAATTAAATCTGCATAGTACACATTAATGGAACACTCCAGGCACCATAACCAATACATATGTTTAGTTAATAATCCCATAAATACTGTTTCAAAATATTTCATTAATATTTTATGAAGAATTTGACAAAAAGTGATCTGTGATTAGTATGTAAATACATAAACTTAATTTCCACTGCTTATTATAGATGTAAAGAGACCATTCTACTGTGAAATTTCAGAAGGATGTTTTAATGAGATGATAATTTATCTAAGCAGACCCAGTTTACAAATGTGAAAATACAAATTAGCATACTTTTTCTTGAGATGTAGAATCCTGGAGAAAGTTTTGGTACAGTACAACAACTGAATCAAAAATGCACTGTCATGATAAAGAGACTATGACTTAAACAACAATTAAACCTATAAAAAAATGTCACTGCCCAAATACAAAAACAAATACAACTCGCTATTTAGTATATATACTCACAATAAAAACATGCTTGCATTTAATTATTATATCATTTTTCATTGGGTGTATATCTACAACCAGCTTGCAAAAACTACAGTCCCAATGTCTCATCACTGGCGACAGCCTCTAGAAGACCAACCCAGTCTTTTTTGATTACCCACATCCCAATGTTGGGAGGTATGATACCATAATTAAATGATTGCCTTGTTTCCCCCATGTTTACCTATGATTGTGCTTCATGTACAAGAATATTGATAACATGCTGAAGTGATCCTGATTTATCTCTGCCCACCAAATTTCTACATGTAAAATAAACATTTAAACTTTTGAATTTAGAGTATTCATTAAGTGCCTACATTAGCCTTAAATCAGATGAGACAATTAACATAGAAAATATAGTTTTATGGAAACATACCTCACATCATTTGAAATAGACAATGAGGGACACTATTTTTAGGGCTGTAAGTGTGGGTGTCCAGGGGCAGTGCAGTCCTGAGAAATTTTAGGTGACTAGCTAATTACAGTTTATGCAACTAAAATGTATTTTAAGACAATAACAATGTATCTTATTTAGACAGACTGATTTCTAAACACAATTATTGTAGTTTAAAGACACAGTACTATGAATATTATTGCGGTGGTGGTGTTATACATTTCACAATATCAGGCTTAACAACCGTCCCGATTTCGGTGGGCCAGTCATGATTTTCATGTCCCGTCCCGTTATCCTGACTTAGTTCCCTGGTGTCCAGCTTTGGGATGATGATTGGCAGGCAGACAGACATGCATTCATGCGAGGCTGACCAGCCAGTAACTTAAGCAGACCCGCCCCCTAAAGAGCAGGTTTTGGTTGGAGTCAGTGACACAGTAATGTTGCTGGCCCACGCTGTTTACCCCATACCGCCGCCATCCCTCAGGATGTAGGAATTGGGAGCTATGCAATATGAAGCTTCTCAAAAAGAAGGATGTTAGGATAGAAAAGAGGGATTTGGGTCCAAATAGGGGCTGTACTAACTATGGACAGTTAAGACATATGCATAAATAAAAGGAAAATATAGGACTTATAGTAAATTAGACAAAGATTCAATTTAAAAGTAAATATAACATCTTTATTAAAATAGTGCAAGCAGCTCTTTATGGACATATTTATTTATTCTTCTCCTTATTACTAAGCACTTTTTGCTTGGAAAAAAAAATATTATCATACTCATACTTCAATTATCATTAACATTTATTTGAATTAAGGGATGTATATCTAGCATATAAACATATAATAAAACAGGAATGTCGTGTACAGATTGCTTTTATAACAAACTTAGAGATGGAAGGCCCCTTCCCCCTAATTAGAAAAAATATAAATAAATCATTAATGGACTATGGACTTGGAGGGAGACAGACACAGGAGTAGCAACACTTGAGGGAGGAAAGGCCAGAATTTTAAAATTTTGTAACTCTTTTGGCTGTGAAAATGTGTGAATAGAATATTATTTCTACTAAATAACTAATCAAATATTTTATTCCATAAACAT